CATGCGGGAGTGGGAGGGAGGGAAAACAGGCAGGAAATGAAATCCCAGCAGACCTCGACAGGGTGATGGGCCGCTGGAGGAGCGCGGCACAGCCCAGCACAGAGACTCAGGGGCCCACCGCCACAGGTACACAGAGCCCCTGCCACATGCTGTGCTGCACACGGCAGCCGCCTGCTCAACCCTGCTCTGCTGAGAGGAAGGAGCCAAACGATCAGGGCTGGGACAGTGGGGCCACCACACCACATGCTCTTCTCCAAGGCAATGCCTGCAAGCTGTGGAGTCCACAGCAATACAAACAGCACTGTGGGACCCTGGGACTCAGACACACGCCAGCTCCCACAGGGCAGCACCGCTGCAGACACTCAGCCTGGTCCCCGTGTCGCCCACCAGGAGCGCTGACACCAAGGCAGAGGAGCCACTGTCTGCCACAATCACGTGCTATTTCCACATGACAGCAGCCTTTTCACCAGCTGATGTCCACACCCCCTTGAGGTCCAGACCCTCCTGTAGGCCCCTCTTCTCCCAGCCCATCTGACCATCCCTCTTCCCTGCACCCAAAGGGACAGCCAGGGTGGGCAGTGCCAACGCATTCCTGACACCTAACCCAGAGCAGCATTCCTAAGGCGGATAGCAGGGAGAACAGATTCTCACACACACGCTCACGTAATGCCATGAGGCATGACCCCTGGGGTACAGTAAGACTTAAAGAGCCGGCCAAGTTAGTGCGCAGAAGACAGACACTGGTGGAGACGGTAAGGTACACAGAAAAAGGCCAGGTGCAGCACGGAGCTCAGGAGAACGGTGACCGCCTAGCATGGTTTGGTTCCCAGTGCCAGAGGGGACAACAGGTCAAGAGAGACAGAAAGATCTGTACCTGGGCACTGACTGCACGAGACTCTTCAGCAACATTAAACAGCGGGCAATTAAGGAACCAGGCGTAGACAGAAAGAGGAAATTGGGCCTCAGAAAGGAGAGGAAACCGAATGCAGGGAGCAAGGCTCAGAAGGGGTCGAAGATCTGTGTAAGAGGGGCCGGGGGCTGGAGATGCGGCTCCATGCCGGCACCTGCCTGGCCTGTGGAGGCCTAGGCTCCCTCAGGGCATTGCCAAGTGAAGGAAGAAGCAAACATGAGCAGCCGGCGGGAGCCAGGCGCAGATCACACGCGGCTCCGCACATGCGCATGCTCCGCACTCCTGCACCGGCTTCCCAGGCGATGCTTAATTCAGACAGAGAGGAGGCCCCTGGGACCTGAAGGTCCAGTGCACTGCTCAGAGGGGCCACCTGGGTCCTTAGCACCTTCCCTGACCCTCGGATCAGCCACTTGGGGGCATGGGGACAGGACTGGGCCTGGTCGGCAGAACAACTGCCCTGAATTCAGCCCTGTGCCCCATGCCCAGCAGAGGCACCAGCACCGTGGGTGAGAAATGGGGCTGCAGCCTGCTCCCCAGACGGCCCGGCTGCTTTGCTCTTTACCAGAGTGTGAAGACATGGCCCTAGTCATGGACTCGGAGCCCCGAGATGTGCGGGACAGTCAGCCCTCCTGTACCAACCAAGGGGCCCAAAGCAACAGAGTGGCCCCCGCCCCACCCCCAGTATCAGTCTTCCACCCTTACAACACTGCTGAGCAGACATCACGGCAGGGGCAACACTAGCACATGAAGGGAGAGAAAGAAGAACAGACAGCCAAGCACGTGGACCAGCTCCTCACAACAGCTGTGCTCTGGATGTGCTTAAATGCATATTAATAAAAAAAAAAAGTGGAGGGGCTGGAGTGATAGCTCAGTGGCATAAGCGCCTGCCTGGCCAGCACAAGGTCCTGAGTTCGATCCCTGGTCCTGCATGCTGTATGGGCATCAGAACCCCGGGAGCACCGTGCTGGCTGCTGAAACTGGGCATTGTGGTG